CCAAAGGACTATCACCAGCCAGAATGCTGTTCCACCACAATGGTTACACCATGTTTAACCAATAATTGCATAAATAATACGAAGCGAAGCAAGAAAAACATTCTTGGTAGCTCAACCTCACCATCTTTACCATAGAAATAACAATCCCGTGGCAATCAATTCATAGCAATGCTACAGATTTAGTTTGCATGCAGCTGCATTTCCAGTAACAAATAATAAAGAAAGCAACTAGTGCGCACATCACATGATATCAATGCCAGGACTACAGCACTGCGGGCAAGGATAAGTCGACAATACAATGTTGACATCCTTAACAGTCCTTAGCATGCTTCGGTAAGAGATTCATGGCGCTATATGACAGTCTTCACATCATATCGTGTTTTCATATTAATAACCTGCCCTAAAAGCTGGCGATTGCCTACGACCAGTACCAAGAAAAATCCACAAATAAGCTATTCACTAATCCGCCACCCAACGCAGCGTCCACGACGAGGATTGCCGGTTGGCGTCAGCTTTCGTGTGCATCGAGATATTTTTTAGGTCTGGCTGCCAAATGCTGCCAGGTATTGCTGTCGTCGCAAAACCGTTCCATGACGCCATCAAACAATGACGTAATGCGCTGCATTTTTACAAACTTTGAAATTTTGCTAATTACGGTCGTTTTTGTGCCTTAAAAGTTTACCAATATTTACAAGTAAGCTTTTCCCATGATACCTGATGCTTATCTCAAAACCCTCAAACGGGGAAGATTTCTTTTAAGTATTTAATGGATATGCTGCTCAGAACCTCCTCGTTTAACTGCGTTAAGGAATGTTTTTATGACATCAGTTGCTGTCAGACTGGCATTGTCAGAACTGACACTGTAGCGCACGGGCTGACTCACATGCAGCACTTCAACTCACTCATCGAAAGGCCTCGTGCTGATTGGTGCGCTGTTTGCAGAGGCTAGCTTTGGTTGCGGGTGCGTGGTCTGGATTTTTCTCGTGATGATCCTTCATATTTGTCCGTGATTTTATATTGTTACTTGCATTCACATACTAGGAACTTCGATAGTGATACGAGTTATGATGAGAAGTGGACTGAGAATCGAGCAACTTAATAACAGCGCTATAACCAAGTTCCCGCATTTTATGGCACAAAACGTGATTCGTGTTCGTAGCTTGCATAAAGCGCATCCCGTCGTTTGAAGGCTACCTGAATTTCGTTGGTGCTAGAATTCGTGCGGACGTACGCCAGGCACGAATAGTTCGATAGTACATTTTCCGTGACCTTCAGCTCTACATGACCAACGAGGTGACGCTACATACGTGACGTTTCTATCGCTCCAAGGATGCCTTGATGACCGTAAAATAATCCTCATGAAATAGTCTGCACATGGTCGCTAGCCGGGCTTGACACGAGTGACCCTGTTACGCACTGAGACCGCACTGGCGTCTTCAGGGCCCTAAATGACCTCTGCGCCCCGGTGGCTGTCCAGCCGCTGTTCACCCGTCGGACCGCTACGAGTAAGCGCATCACGAAGTCGGTGGTGCCCGGGTGTCTGCTTTCTGGCTGTTTATGTCGCGCGAGACGTTTTCATATCGTGCGGTCTCGTCTTGGAACCACCTGCTGCCGACCGGTTTGATCTCTCGGAGCCGTGCTGCGCTCATATCTAAACTTGACCAACGTGGAAAAGAGGGTTTGTTTGACTTAGCGAGTATCCGCAGGCTCTTGGCGCCTTTTCATCATCTTTGCATCGTTGTTTTTATCGTGTAACTTGCAACCCATTGACTCGAATTAAACATTAAGCCATACGGATGGTACGATTCGCAGTAAATAAATAGCATAACATTACATGGCATGTTTGTGGGCGTCAAGCTAACAGACCAGATGATCGTTAGAATTCACGTGGCTCTGAACTGCACTGAAAAGTCTATGGAAAAAGCTACCCAAGTTTAAAACCCAACGTAAATATCGAACCCTCCCTCTAAAACATAGTCTCAAACGTATATAAGCACTAACGTGCTTTGCATGGACAATGTAGGGAAAGATCTGCACAACTAAAGCTAGAGGAAGGAAAACTGAGTCTTTTGCGCAGAATCGCTGTTGGAGATGGGGAGTCAAGTGGTTCATGATATCTGGAACACTAAGCCTTCAAATGGAATGCTGCGTCCCATCGTTTACTTCTGTACGGTAGATAGTGTCTTGACCATTACCCTAAAAGGCATTAGGAGGGGGGGGGGGGGAGGCTCAGGAGCTCGCTCCTATGGATTTTCCGAAATAACTTCCCAATGGTTTTGAGTACGACACTTGAATTATGTACACCCGAGCTTGCATAACTCCGCATATTTGTACGGAAATGCATTCGAAAAGGTGCTTTGTATTCCTCTTCTCACCAAAAGCACTGTTAAGTGCATGACTATTGATGTGGCGCTTTTGGGGAATTAAGCCGTCCAAATGCCCAGCTAGGTCAAACATTGACCTTTGTGGCTGAATATGACAGTTTGGGATTATACGATTTAAATCTGAGCTGCACATGTCTAATGGCTTGAGAACGCACTTCTAACGAAATGCAACAATAACCTTCAACCCTTCGGCCTAACATGACATATCACAGGTCAGTTCTGTTCGTTTATGACTCTGTTCCCAGTTGCCCCTCAAAAATACAAATATTGAGATCATAATGCAGACTCCGTCGAGAGACACCGGACACCGTTTGGTTTCAAAAATCCAGCAGCTCCCAGCCAGCAATTCTCGAGTCGGACTCAACAGCTTCGGAGATCTCAAAGGACTGCGAGGGGGAGGGGATGGAGGAATCTCTTCCTTCCCGCCCGCGACCAGAGCAGGAATATTGAGGAGCTCGCCCAGAATGGGGTTGAGTCTGTGTTTAGCGTAACGGCTATGAAATAATGCTGCGACGGTGTGAATCTCAATCACATCGTTCACTCGCTTTGTCACATTGGCCAATACGTTATTTGACAGTCTCTCGGACATATGATCTGTAGAGACGAGCGACACCTGGCATGACTGTCACTAACGATGCCAGCTAATAAACAATGATACGATATGACATAGACACACACTTTTGTTCATCAAGAGAATCACAAATACGACATGTACATAGTAAGTCAGTACAGAATGACCATGCTTAACAAAGCCGAAACATGCCATAATTTATTGTGCCGGCTAGCTTTTGTGCACCCTGAACACCGAGACGATTTAGAAAACAGCCAGCCATAACGAGCCTTGAGGGAGAAATAATACAGGCTGCCTACAACTGAGCTGCTCTCTGACTTTTCTCAGCAATGCCAACGATGTCGATCACCGGCCACCAACCATCTCTCAGCGGCTTCTCAAGGAAGATGCCATTGCTGCGCGCCCCGGTGCTGCAGGATCCTGGATCCATGGACAGGATCCCGCAGTTGGGTGAATGTGTCGTCCAATATCCGGCCGTGGCGCGGCCCGTCTCGCCGACGACCGCGGCCTTCAGCCCCTCCGTCGTGCGAGGTTCGTTCAGAGACTCCCAGACCTTAAGGTGGCTCCACGTGAGGAAATCGACTGCACTGAGGCCCGGTGACTGACGGACCATGGGATGTCCGTGTCGCGGCTGATGTATCGGTTTGGGAAATGGGCTGGCAGTCAGTCGAGTGAGCCTTGGAGGTGTGCGGTGTTGCAATCCTTGCTAGAGCAATTCCTGATTGCTGATTCTTTGCTGGCATTACAACTCCTGACGGCAATGCAGCAATGCTTGATTGCGTTTTCTGTCATCTCCTGATCATGATGGACGGCGCATGTCAGACAGGTCTGTCCAAAAGAAATCACGCACAGTGTCGATGTAGCGCTCGTGGTTGATGTTGATGGCCTCTCTGGCACACCTTTCGAGGGGAAATAACAAGTCATTCCCTCACCCATCGGCAGTTTGTCAACAAACCTCGCAAAACAGTGGGGCCGAGGGCCGCCATCGTCCGTGACATGGGCGCTGTGTCAGGGCCCAGATCACGAACGACGCTGACACCCCACTCGCCGGAGGCTTACCTGTGACCTTGCAGCACCCGGGTGCACTTAGTGCATTGTCTTTAAGATGCTACCGAAAGCCGGTTTGATGGCCGAGCATCTACCCTGTTGATAATTTTGTTACACCAACTTAAGGAAAGTCAAAAGAGTATTGGAATCTTAAATATGCCCTGTTTAATTCCTTAGGATTTTAAGAAAAATCTATTCAATTTGTGGACATCCAATCCATTTTGCTACGCAAGCACAACTGAGCACTTAAGTTCCACTTAACTGTTGGAAAACGGGTGCAGAAATAAAGCTACCTCTGAACATTTCGACGGTCCCCCACAATTCGACGTTGCGGTCCTCTACACAGAAATCTGGTTGTGATAAAATAAATGAAAGCAAAAGGCTGTTTCTATCATTTTTGTCAGCCATACAACATCATTTCAGTTCCACATCATTGCCCGGACGTAGTGACCACAACATTCCAAGAGAAGCCATATGTGATGGTTTATCGCGTCGCACCTCGTTGCGTTCGTTTATGTTCACCGTGTTTTGTGCTGGTCCATTGTCACTGCACTGTCGCCTGTCCACTAGCGAAGTCCAAGCAAGCACTGCTGATGTCCTGGCCGTACTGTCGCAGTGAACCGTGGAAAATGATGAGCACAAGACGAAAAGGAATAGGTCATGACTTAGCCAGGCGGAGGCGATAGGCATATGTCCACCAGATCCGTCTCTGCCACGCAGTGCCTTGCCCTTGAAACGCCCTTGATATAGATCCTGTCATGCGCATGGCCAGCCTAAAGCCCTCGTTTGCGCCTCGAGCGTGTCAATTTGACATAGGATTGTATGCTTCACTGCCGCAACTGAGGGTGGACGCGAGTCTGTTAAACCGTTGCATGATTCTAGGTCAACGATTATATTTCTGGCGGTTCCGAGAAAAGTATCGACAGGAGGCAATACAGCTTGACAAGTACCGCTCCCTGCAACGATGTCGTTCGCCGCTGAAGACTAGTGTTCGCCTTGCACACACTCGGTGACGTTGGCTCCGCACCTGCTAGTTGTGAGCTATCCGTTACGTCGTGAGACTGGCCGACAGTGCATGGCTCAGGCTCGCATCGCTCCTGCCTCTCCCTCGTCATCATCCAAACGACGATGGTTATAGATCGGATAATTTTCATCGGTAACACGAGCTAGATTTCCATCGTTTTCGCTTCGTCGCTGGCCGACCGGGAGGGGGGTGGGGAGGAGGCGGCTCAGGGGTCGCAACCAGGGAACACGTTGCGTGGACGTAGGAACTCCTGCTCCACCGTGTGGATGCGCTGGCTGCGGGTGGTCTTGATGGTGTCGATGGGGGTGCGGTGGCCGTACAGGCTGCTACCGAGCACGGGCACCGTGCGCTCCGCTTCCTCCCGCCACATGTTCACCGCCGCCAGCTTGTACTGACCGTCCTCGCGGTGCAGCTTCTGGTTCCACGTGCTCTTCTGCCGGTATACCTGGTCGTACTGGCATCTGCCGCCGGCGGATGTCGTGTCAAGCGCGCGGTGGCAGGAGTTACGGGCACCACGCTACAGTGGAAGAAGGTTGATAACGTGACACCTTTGCACATGGGTTGCGTACAGTTTTGCATCGCAGTGCCTGTGAGCTGCGTAACGCAGTTTATATGCCGGTTTGATTTAAACGTTGCAGTCATAAGCAGTGACAGAAAGGGCTCCCCAGAAAAATGATGTAGGTCACGTAATAGAGGGCTCCTGTCTGCGGGAATTTCATGCAGGTATGATGGTGTTGAAATTTGAAGGTATGCAAAACTTCCCAACCAAATAGAAAAAGGAATTTGAAAAATACACAGCCTGTATTTGACTCACATGACGTTGTGCTCTTTTTTGCTGGGCCCGAAGTAGGTGATGGCCGGGTCCATAGGCACTACTTTGTCAGGGTGAAGAGCCTTGAATCGGTTCTCCAGTTTGTCGAATTTGCCCAAGATTTCCTTCGCAAACTCGTCATCTTGTGTAAACGTGTAGTCGTGAATATAGCTCATTTTCAGAACGTTGATGATCTTTGTAAAATAAAAAAGTAAGCACTTCAAAGAGTACAAAATCGTAAGGACTTGAGGAAGTTTCGGTCAGATCGCGTTAGGAGTTGATCATTTAAGTTTCGAATCAAAATCAGCTTATTTTTGAAATGACAACACCAATGTATGCAGGATACTATTGCAGCCGCTAAAACACTTGGGAATTTTCTTCGTTCTGTGTACTTTTTTATGCGATCGTGATCAATGCATTCTATCTACCTCCAATAGCGTATTTTAAATCATTAAACAATCAGGCGTCCATTTCCCCGTCAACGTTTTCGACGATTGATTCACGGGAAAAGAAAGAGTAACTCTTTCTTGTGTTGTTTTTGTCACCCGGGGCCGCGACTAAGATCAATATTGTTTTGAGTGTTTGAGGTTCCCGGGTCATGACCTTGAGGTAAAATAAGGTCAAATAAGGTCAGACTCCAGATTGATGTCTCAAGTGCCCCCAAGACCACCTATGAACAACCATGAAGCTAGATGCCTGTTTTAAGAAAAAGTTCAATGAGGTCAGTAACCTTGTTTAACCCTGATAAGGCCAGGGTGAGCAAATATAGACCAAAGAGATTGCTCGAATTTTGCCACCAGAAACTACTCCATCAAACCAACCTCTCGAGTAAAATGCAGGTTAGTTTTGCTATCGTTCTGACCTTTGTACCTGACTCTAGATTAGAGGAAGTGATTATAAGTAAAAATTTTATTGGTTTATCGCCTAAAAAGCTCTGAGATATGCATGGCTTCGTCTAACACTACGTTGTTGCATCATGTTGAACAATGCCATAGAAATGCCCTTCGCTGACAACCACGGCCTGACTTTGACCTGCCATAGGGCAGCATCTTATAAGCTACATTCAATTTGTTAAATCAAAAGGCCCACTGTTCAATTCCCAACAGGTATGGAAATTTTGATGCCGCTTCGCCGCACCGTTCGAAAAAAACTAAAAACTTTCAGGGGGGCAATTTGATCCCCGCCCATCCAAGCACGCGTTAAACCTTGCAGCATTAAACCTTGATACGTGTCTACAGCGTTCTATCACCAAACCATGGTCACTGGACATCCGTGTGCAAACGGCACCCATTCCCTGTCATGACTGCACCGCAGGGGGTGGCAGTGGTCCACCGCACTGACGTCCCCGACCGGCACACCGGTCAGAGCGGCGAGCTGTGTGACCGCACTCGGCCGCCACGCCGGTCAGAGCGGCGAGCTGTGTCGCCGTTCTGACGCCCCCATCCGTCACACCGGTCAGAGCGGCGGGCTGTGTCTTCACACTGGCGTCCCCGGCCGCCACACCGGTCAGAGCGGCGGGCTGTGCCGCCGCATCGACGCATCCGGCCGGATCGGCGGACTGTGCCTTTACACTGACGCCCCCGGCCCCCCGATCGGAGCGACGGGCTGCGCCTCGGCTGCCGAAGCGCCCTCGGCCGGGCGCCGGCAGGGCCGTGCCTGCCGTCGGCCGCCGCCGCCGCCACCGCCGCAGTCGTGTCGCCGCCGTCGGCGCTTCGCCCCGAGCTGGGCCGCGTCCGCAGGGCGGTGGTGGCAGGGCCCGACGCGGCACCTCAGCCGAGCAGCGAGCGGCGGGTGCGACGCCGGCCGAGGACGGGGACTTCTGGTGGCTGTCTTGTTGGACACGGGAGCTGTGTGTAGGAGGGTCTGTTGGTGGTGAATCTTCTTCCGCGTCGGCAGCCGAATTGCTGGCATTCGGGCATCTTGTGGTTTTTGAAAATCAGGTAAGTGGTCTGGTCGGGATCTTCGTAGTGTTTGTGTCCAATGCAGTCGCGATGAAAGAGAGTTAAGATCTGAGGGTAGAGATCAAACGGTCGTTTCTGGAATTGACTAACATTGATCAAAGTTCAAAGAAGGAACACAGGCTGGAAACGTAGTTTTGAAACAACTGCTCCCAGGCAGTCAAGTTTCCTCTAAAATTTCATGCGGTTGAATGCTAACACAGGCCAGCTCATGCATGAGTGGCCAGCTGCGGTGAGCATCGTGGTTATGCTCCTCGTTTTACGGCCTGCCTTGTACGGGCGGTTTTGAGAACGCGTCCGGTGCACCCAAGCGGCGCCAGGCTGTGGGCCGAATCAGGAGCGGATGCGACGGGCGTCTGCTGGCGTCATGCTTTTTGCCGACTGAGTCGCACTTCGCGACGAAAAGCACCGCTCCACACTTGACGTACTTAAATGTCTCGTTTAGTCTGGTGACGCGGGACTTGTTTCTAGAGAAGGGGAGTCGAGGGTGAGGTGGTGGCATGTTTCAGTGACCAATACGGAGCCCATTTTGTCACACTGACGCCGTGTATTTGTTGGCGATTAACAGCGGTTGCCGACTGCGTCTTCTGTGCAGCGTGCATGGTTAACGTTATCAAAGCGCAACTTCGGGACTTGGAAAGGATTTGAAAGCGACAAACAAGTCGTCTTCACCCCCCAAGCTGAGTACACCCTGGCACACCTTACACTTTCTGACCTCTTTATGAGTCTAGTGCTATCTTCAATTCGTATTGCAATGCATATTAAATTCTAAGCAACTGCTCTGTTTTCGACGCGTGTCAGGGCTGGACATCAAGGCTGCTGCTGCGCCTAGTACGCGAAAGACGTCACACCAGCCATGCCGCTGGTTTTTACAACTTGTCCAACGCACATCCCTCGCACGCAACAAAAAATCGCCTGCGAAAGCAGGCATGCTGACGAAATATGGGTCAATACCCATAACAAGCAGCACATCGTGTGTTGTGCGGGACGGGCAAGGCGCTTGTGGGCGTGCGTGACGTCATCCGCATGATGCAAAAGAGTAAACGACCGGATCCAGCCGTCTTTGATCACCAGTAACGATGGTTGATGCGCTTACAATGCGCTTGATACCCCTCGTTGATGACATATCTGCGGGGATGTTTCATTGAAGCATCGTTTGCGTGTTGGTTCTCCAAGACTGGCTGGACTAAGTTTGAGGTCTTTTCCTACATGCATTTTTCAGCCCGTATCTGGCCTAGAGCTTTGCATCCTCTACCGCCCCACGTCATACTTTTGCTGAACGCATCATACTTCTCGACAGCTATCGCGCTGTATACAGGATTTGCTTTCGTCTCTCATCTCCCTTCTGGTCACGCAAAGCAATCTCTCAGCGAAAAGAAGCCCGAGGCATTTGAGCTCGTGGTTTGAATGCTTACACGCGTATTATTTTTGTCAAATTTGTAGATGATTAGCGGTGGCTTATCGATTGCAGTCTTCTGGTATAGCTGAATATTTCAAATGATTTATGTACAAATTTAAATATTGCTTGCACCTTTCTTATATAATTAAGTATTCTAAATGATTTAAGCGTATATTTGAAGTTTAGATATGACTAACATTGTGACCACCAAGCCCTCTTGGATCTCATCTGGACTACCCTCGCATGTGTCTGGTCCGGCGGATTCCATACTTTTTATATTCAGGTGATGACGTACGTAACCAAAGGACATGTTCATTTTTCAAGGCATCGCCTGGCGGGTGTGAGCTTGTAAGAAGTAATTAGTCAGTTTTTATCGGGCTACAACGCTCAGGACCTCCGACATGAATTAACAACGTAAGCCATGGGTGTAAGCCATGCACAAAAAACCAGGCTGCCCTCGGGAAGTCGCTCCTGCGAGGAGCATCGGAATGATCCAGGCAGGTCTCAACCAAGGAGATGTCGCCAAGGCACTGGAGGCGTCACACCACGGTTAACGGTTTAACAGGTTTAACGGTTTAACGGCACGGTTTAACAGGGTGGGTCTCCCAGTTACAGTCAACGTTCGGGCCAATTTTCGCAGGCCAGCCGGATGGGGGCAGTGGCCGCCGGATTGGGAAGTGGCTGCTGGATGGGGCAATGGCTGCTGGACGGGAGCAGTGGCTGCGAGATGGGGGTAGTGGCTGCCAGAACCGTGCTGAGAAGAGCATGAAAGGAGTGAAAAGCAAAAAAGTCAGAGTGTGGAAAAATCTTTCGTCAAATTGCAGCGCGCTCTTAGGGCCACGAGGTGTTCAGCGTTGTCTGTCTGTTCATCTTTTTATGATTACATAAAGCCTTCATTAGGCCTCACGGCATACAAACTGGCCAAGCAGAAACAAATGGAGGGGAAAACATCGAAGGCAAGGGTGGAGCTGCGTACAAATGGAAGAACTGGAGCAATGACTACTTTAAATGCTTATTTGGAGGAACGAGTCTGTTTTCGCGTGCAAACAACCCTCAGACACCCAAAGCGAGCGCAAGTAGATGTAAAACAGGGTGGGATGCCACTTTGTTGCCTTGGAAAGAGGTCTCAAAACTGGATGGTATGGCACGGGTTGGGTGGTGGGCAATGGGTGCTCTGGGCCTTACAAAGCTGCGCTTGCTGCCGCAAAAACAGACTTTCAACACAAATTCATATGTCAAAGAGCCTCTCACTGAGCCCCGAAAACAAGCAGCGAACAAGGAAACCACAAATGAGATGGAGATAGTGCGCATGTTAACCGCCATCTTCTTGCAAGACGACGCACCCACTCACTCACACGGTGCAGACATCTAGTAATGGTGATTGGCGCATCTTCCTGACTCTGCGACAGGAAGGCATAACCGGGAGACTCCCCTGTCCTAAACGCCATCGAAAATCTATTCGGCATCCTCAAGGCGTGTCTCAGCGAGATACATACCCGGAAGAGTGCCGCGGCGTTGGAGGCGTCACCGCAGGGGGAATGGGCGTGCGTGGCATTCTGCACGCCCTGTAAGTCGGTGGATGACACGCCAAACAGGATTGACATTTGTCTTGAATCAAAGCGGGAGTACGTCAGCATGTTAATTCAAAGTGTCATATGAACGTTATCTTTTTTACAGATAGTGAAAAGGTGAGAACGAACTTATGAAACACTGTATACCAAGTGAGATAGGAACGGAATGATACAGCACACACCACCCGAAGTATTTCCCTTTTCGCAACACGTTGGTCGCAGCGGCATCTAACGGGACAGACTGTGAATTCGCGGATTTCTTCATTGCGAAGAGCTGCGCCCGTTCGCCAGC